GTTATTAAAGTGAATACTTTATAACCCAGGCTGGATTATTTTTTCTGCCATTTCAGTCTGTTTAGCTTTGTGTTCCTTTTGTGGTTGATACCATGGCTGCGAATCAGTATGGTATGCTTCCATTTAATGGAAAAACAGATTTTGATATTTGGAAACAGAAAATTAAGTGTGTTTTAATACAGCAAAAAGTTTATAGAGCTGTCACTGGTATTTTCCTTGAATCAGAAGATAAGGCTAAGCAAATTGAAATGAACGAAACTGCTTGTTCTACTATTTACTTGAATCTGTCTGATTCTGTGCTTAGGAAAGTGGGTATTCTTGAGTCCGCTAAGGAGTTGTGGGAGAAATTGGATAAGCTCTATACTGATACCTCTTTACCCGGAAAGTTGTTCTTACTAGAGAAATTCTTTAGGTTTAGGCTTGACCTGACTAAGGATATAGATGAGAACCTGGATGTGTTTAATAAACTGATACAGAATATCAAACAGGCAGGTGATAAACACATAGATGATTATACTCCCATAGTATTACTTAATGCCATTCCCGACTCTTATAATGATGTTAAGTCCGCTATTAAGTATGGTAGGGATGAGATTTCGTTAGACATTGTTGTGAATGGGTTAAGGAGTAAGGAATTAGACCTGAAGCATGCTAGGGGTAGTGCTAGTCAGTCCAGGGACTCCGGTGAGGCTATGTTTGTTAGGGGTAGATCTAAGGGTAGGTCTAAGAATCCTAAGCAAAATAGTCAGGGTAAGAACGCTAGTCAGCCTGGGAGGAAGAGGAGTAAATCTAGGAAGAGAGTGTGTTACAATTGTGGTAACACTGGCCATTTCATTAAGGATTGCCCCCACCCTAAGAAGACCGAGCATGCTAGTGTAGCTGTTGATAAATGTGACCTTGGTGATATTTTGATGGTTTGTGACCATGTTAATTCTGTGAGAAATTCCCTGTCTGAGCATGAATGGTTGATTGACTCTGGTTGTACCTATCACATGTCCCCCTTTAGAGATTTGTTTTCTACTTATGAATTATGTGATAGTGGCTACGTTTCCTTAGCTGATAATAAGAGATGCAATGTGCTTGGTGTTGGTGATATATGTCTGAAGTTTTCTTGTGGCTCTGTGTTTACCATTAAGAATGTGAGGCATGTCCCTGATTTGTGTCATAACTTGTTATCTGTTGCTGCTTTGGAGAGTAGTGGGTTACACGGAAAATGGGGGAATGGTTGTATGAAAATCCTGAAAAACTCGCTTGTTTTGTTTAAAGTTGAGAAGGTGATATTTTGATGGTTTGTGACCATGTTAATTCTGTGAGAAATTCCCTGTCTGAGCATGAATGGTTGATTGACTCTGGTTGTACCTATCACATGTCCCCCTTTAGAGATTTGTTTTCTACTTATGAATTATGTGATAGTGGCTACGTTTCCTTAGTTGATAATAAGAGATGCAATGTGCTTGGTGTTGGTGATATATGTCTGAAGTTTTCTTATTGCCGAGTCTTGCTAAACCTTTTGCTGAGTCTGTGAATGTTGTATGTTCTGATAAGACCTCTTTGTGGCATAATAGGCTAGGACATATGAGCAATAGGGGTTTAGATGTCATGCGTAGGGCTGGTTATTTTGGTAAGGACTCTGTGACTTCTGTGCCTTTCTGTGAATCATGTGTGTTAGGCAAGCAGCATAGAGTCAGTTTCCCTCCTTCCTCTTACCCTAATCTGTCTAAGTGTTCGTCTGTGCTTGAATATGTTCATGCCGATGTTTGGGGTCCTGCCAGTGTTCCTACCCACAGGGGTAGGAAATATTTCCTTTCTATTATTGATGACTTCTCTAGGAAGGTGTGGGTTTGCCTTTTAGAACACAAGTCTGATGTGTTTGTGAGGTTTAGGGAGTGGAAAACCCTAGTTGAAAACCAAACTGGCAGGAAGGTTAAAACCCTTAGGACCGATAACGGGTTAGAGTTCTGTAATAAGGAGATGGATAAGCTGTGTGTGGATTGTGGGATAAAAAGGTACAAAACTGTGCCTTATACTCCCCAACAGAATGGGATAGCAGAGAGAATGAATAGGTCTCTGTTGGATAAGGTTAGAAGCATGTTAGCTACCTCTGGTTTGTCTAAAAAATTCTGGGGTGAAGCAGTCACTACTGCTGCCTATTTGGTTAATAGGTCCCCGTCTGTCCCTCTTGGTGGTAAGTGTCCTGAAACCGTCTTTACCGGTAAGCCTTTTGATCTGTCTAACCTTCGGGTGTTTGGTTGTGCAGCGTATGCACATCAACAAGGTGACAAGTTGGATCCTAGGTCTAAGAAATGTGTCTTCCTAGGTTATCCAGAGGGGGTAAAGGGTTACAGGTTATGGGATAGGAACCAGGTAGGCTTTAAAGTGGTCCTTAGCAGAAATGTGGTGTTTAATGAAACTGATTTTCCCTGCTTGACCAAGACTGTTTCTGATCCTGAGTCTAGGTCTGATAGTACTCCTAGTGAGGTGGAGTCTGTCCCTGTTGCTGCTAGTCCTTTGTCTGTTGATCCTGTTATTTCTGATGATATTGTTATGCATGATTCTGATTCCTCTGAGCATGATAGTCCCACCACCTCGAGTGAGGTGGAGCATTTGCACGATACTGAGCATGATTTGCACGATATGGGTGCTGAATCTGATTTTCATGATAACAATAATTTGCATGAGTTGCATGTGGAGCCTAGTAGTGATAATTTGCATGATTATCAACTCGCTAGAGATAGGAGTAGAAGGGCTATCAGGAGAACTGCTGATAGTATGCCTGATTATGCTTTCATTGTGCATGATACTTCTATGTTTGCATTTTCTGTGTTTGAATCCCTAGAGCTGAATGAACCCAAGACCTACCGTGAAGCCTTAGGTTCCAAAGAGTCTCAGAAATGGATTAGTGCCATGAAAAGTGAGATGGACTCTTTGAGAGTGAACCAGACTTGGACCCTTGTACCTAGACCCCCCAACTGTTCGGTAGTTGAGTGTAAGTGGTTGTTTAAGGTTAAGGAAGAACCTAGTGATGTTAGGTTTAAGGCTAGGTTGATTGCGAAGGGGTTTACTCAAAAAGAGGGGGTAGATTATGCAGAAATCTTTGCTCCTGTTGTTAAATTCACCACTATTCGTATGATGCTTGCTTTAGTTGCTCACCATGACTGCGAAATGAAACAGATGGATGTAACTACTACATTTTTGCATGGTGAATTGGACAAAACAATTTATATGACCCAGCCTGAGGGCTTTGTGGATCCCAAGAGAAGTGAGCATGTCTGTTTGCTTAGGAAGGCTTTGTATGGCCTGAAGCAATCCCCTAGGCAGTGGAACATCAAATTTGATAAATGCATGATATCTTTGAAGTTCCAAAAATCTGTTTGTGATCATTGCCTGTATTTCAAGAATACTTCCTCTGTGCCTGTATTTTTGTTACTCTACGTGGATGACATGCTGATAATTAGTCCTTCTCTGAATGCTATTAAAGATGTGCAAAAATGTCTCTGTGCGAATTTTGCCATGAAAGACCTAGGTGATGCCAAGAGGATCCTAGGCATAAACATTGTTAGGGATAGGAGTAAGCGTACTCTTACTTTGAATCAGATTTCTTACATAGAAAAAGTTTTGAGTAAATTTAATATGTTATCTGCTTCTCCTGTTAATGTCCCTATGGCATCTTACTTTGTGTTAAGTAAGGACCAGTCTCCCAAGACTGCTCCTGAAATTGAGAAAATGAAATCTGTGCCTTATTCCAGCGCAATAGGGTCGGTGATGTATCTTATGGTTAGCACTAGACCTGATATTGCATATGCGGTTAGTTGCTTGAGTAGATATATGTCCAACCCTGGTTTGCCCCATTGGAATGCTCTTAAGTGGTTGCTTAGATATCTGATTTCTACTGTGAAGCATGGATTAATTTTCTCTAAATGTGCTAGTGGTATTGAATTGATTGGTTATGTTGATTCTAACTATGCAAATGATAGAGATAACAGGAAGTCGACCACTTCTTATGTTTTTACTTTGTGTGGCTCTTGCATTAGTTGGAAGTCTCAACTACAGCCCATTGTGGCCCTTTCTACCACTGAGTCCGAGTATGTTGCAGCCACAGAAGCGTTTAAGGAAGCCATCTGGCTCAAACGCCTTGTCTCCGAAATTGGGTTTCTCAAAAAGGGAGTTACCATTTTCTCGGATAGCCAATCGGCTATTCAACTTTGCAAAAATCCTGTATTTCATGATAGAACTAAGCATATTGATGTTAGGTTCCATTTCATACGTGATATTGTTGATGCAGGTGGAGTCAAGCTGTGCAAGATCCCGTCGGAGTTTAACCCCGCGGATATGGGTACCAAGTGTCTTTCTGCTGAGAAGCACTTGTCCTGTAAACGCGTGTTAAATTTTGACTGTGGATAACTGTGGGTTGCCTAATAAAGTGTTTGCCCGTTGTGTCTTTTGATATTCCGGGTGACCCGGTGATGATGAGTCTCCTCACAACCTGTTTTGCTACTCTACACCACTTAGGACCAATAAGGTGGAGAATGTTGGAGGTATTGGTCCTACCAAGGCCTCCCTTCCACTTTATTATTTAGGCTTGCACCCCATGTTTACTCCCACTTTGATTCCCTGAGTTGAAATCACTCATTGGTGGCCTTTGACTTACCTGGAATCTGCCCCATCTTCTGTCCGCTGCTCCCTTTGATTGTCTTGGCTTACACCCGTGAGTGTCCTTGTTTTTCCTACCCGTGACTTCTCAATAGGCAGGCAGCCTATTATAAAGTCAACACTCCTCCTCTTTGTGAGATAAGCCTGCGAGAGAACATCCTTGTGCAGTGTCTTCCTTCTTCCTTTCCCTTTGTGTGAGAGTTCCTTAGTGGAGTGAAGAAGAGTGAGTAAACATGGGAGATGGAGTGGCCTAGTCCTAGAGTGGTGTGTGTGAGTTTAGTTTAGAAGGTTGGAGACCTGAGCCGGAGACGGAATCCGATCCTAACATAAATAGATTTCAAACATTATTAAATATAAGGGAAAAAATTACTATTCACCCCTGAGGTTAGGTCATAATTATTAATGGAACCTTGCATTTTCAAAAATCAATTAGTTACCCCCTTAGCTTTGATCATTCTCACTATATGCCCCCTCATGTTAATATTTGTTAAATTAAATTTAATACAATTTTATTTATCATTATTATAAATCATTGTTCTTGATCGTTATTTTTTACTTAGCTACTCGTTTGTGGAATAAATATTAATGAAAGTAGTTAAGTTAGATGACTCACGAGCTGCATAATTTTTATGAGATATATCAAAGAAAGTTGTTTGAAATATTGTGATCAAAATTCTTGACACCTCTTCGATCATCATGAATATAAAAGTCTTTTTTGTAAATTGTAATTCATTCGGCTAAATTTATTTCAATGACATTTTTTCGTGTGTAGCAAAGAAGAAATACCAAGGAAAAAAGGAATTTTGTCAATCTATGATCTAAAAGATTGGTCTAGTACTAATAACGAACCTAAAAAAATGTTCGATATTGGGTGGAAATAAGTGTAAGCTGTCAATCCATCTAAGACCTAAAATATAGATAGTATATAAATGATCGAGTTGATAGGTAAAAAAAATCACGATCAACAACAATGACTTATAATTATGATATTAAATTTTATTTTATTTTAAAATTTAATTTTATAGACAACTTTCATTAAATTTAAGAGTTATATTGAATTTAATTTAACAAATATTAACGTGAGGGGGCAAACAGTGAGAATAATAAAAACTTAGGGGTTAAGTAATTGATTTTCGAAAATGCAAGGTTGCATTAGTAATTATGGCATAACTTCAGGGAGTTTATAGCAATTTTCCCTAGATATAAATTAAGTGACTATGTATATGAATTGCAGTCTGCTTTACTTGCTCTATCTGGCGGAATATGCTTCTAACCAACTGGAAGCTGATCGACTGAGGCATCTTGCATCTCCAGCTAGAAAGGTTATAAGGACTTCGTATTATTAGAACTTTTACCAAGCACCCTACCATCACTGCTCTCAAGCTTTTAATAATGGCTAATTCTACATATATACACAAAGAAGTCGAAAACAGGGATATTTAATGTATAATTGAATTAGTATAGATTTGGAGAATATTTAAGTATGATGATTATGCTCTGAGACTTCATCAGTTCAGAGTCATGAGAAAGCGACAAGAAATGAAGAAATTAGTGTTCTGATCGGGTTTGGTCTTTCTTATGAGTTTCTTGTTTAGCTTGGTAAATATGCATTCATATTGTGTGTCTGTTTGAACTAAAATGACATATTTTTTATGTATCACTCTCTGCAAACATCTATACTTGATGAATCCTAAGTTTATTTTGCAGGTTAATGATTCAGTTTAGATTTAATTGATCTGTTTTGGTCACTAGGTTTGACAGCAGTGACTTATATGGGGATTGTGCATCTGATAGGCTCATAGGCTCACATGTGTTCTCTAGCTCTTGCGTCTTTTCCTTAATATTGGAGCTTCACCAAGCAGGTAATTTTAGTCGCACAACTTGACTGTATTATTAATTTTATTTACCAAAATAATCATGCCCTATCTCTTTGTACTTTGACACACTTAACAAAGTAGTCTATTACTACGGAATTAAACAAAACAATTTAATCAAAATTATTTACTGTTTTGTAGTCACATCACATAGTACCTAGATGATTTTACTTTAATATTACTACAAGTTTATAAGTTATAACTATGTGATGGTATATCTGATTCAAGTAATGTGAACTTTGT